CCCCCCCGCTCTCTCCCTCTCTCCCTCTCTCCCTCTCCTTCTCCCTCTCCCTCTTCCCCTCTCCCTCTCTCTGTCTGTCTCAAACCTAACACCCTCTGCCTTGGAGCTATATTCCTATTTCTTCTATAGATGTCCCTTGTTTAACCACTGAGTTATAGTCCTGCGACTAGGTCATTAATTGGATTGGTTGCAAGGTGAGGAATTTTTATAGTATGTACATTACAATATTCAGAACAAAGAAATGGTCAAAGGAGGCTCTAGTTTGATTACTTTGCTTTTTTTTTTTTTTTTTTTAGTACCTCAAATCAAACCTAGGACCTTGTGCTTGCCAGGCAGGTGCGGTGCCACTGAGCTACATCCCTGCCCCTACTTTGCTTTTATTTGCATAACTTTTACATGCATTACTGTAATGTATAACAGAACATAAAACTACAGTACTATGTACTGCATAGTACAAGCAGCAAGTATTATAGTACTGTATAAACAAGGTGTACTGTACAAAAAAGACATTGAGGCTCTATAAACAAAATGTACAGAACTGTACCAAAAAAAAGACAAGTCATAAGTCTGAGCAGTGGGTCTGAAGTCTGAACAATGAGCCTCAGTTCTAAAGTTGTTACACAGATAGGTCATTAAATGAAGAATATTTGTTTTTTTAAATTTTGAGAGAAGGTCTCACTAAATTACCCAGGCAGGACTTGAATTTGGAATCTTCGTGCTTCAGCCTCTCAAAGTGATGGGATTACAGGCATGTGCCACTACCTGGTTCCTATTTGTCCCTCTTAACCACTACCTTAAAGGTTGTAGTTTATATCAACTGTTCTGTGATATACCTGGGTGTAGATTCACTTGGAGGACTTGATGTGTTTAATCTGCTGATTCATGTCTTTAATTCTGCAAAATTCCTCAGCCTTTGTTCATGAAGATTTTGCCTTTACCCCTCTTTCTACTTTTCCTTCTAGTGCTCCTGTTAGTGCTTCTCATTTGTCCTTTTCTTTCAACTGTTGTTTAGTATTTTTCACTTTTTATCTGTTTATCATTCTGTTTATATCTGTTCTGCTGCCTAACTAGTACATTAAATTATTAATATCAGTTGATAGCAGTACATTTAATAACAAAAAAAGAAAAATTTATAGAGTTACAATCCAAATGCCCATCAGTGTCAGAATGAAAAATATGATATACAGCAGTAAAATTATATAAATTGTAAACAGTAATTGAGATGCATCTCAGAAACATAAGGTTAAGAAAACCACATAAAATAAATAATATTCAGGGTCTATTTGTGGAGAAGTTGTAAAGATGAGCAGTGGAATGATGAACAGAATTTATTTTAGCAGTCACATGAGAGAGGAAAGGAAGGTCAAGTGGAGCACCGAGGAGACATCAAAGGCATTGGTAATGCCCTTTATCTTATGGTGGGTGGTGTTAAATACATGTTTGTTGCATCATTCTTTTGCACTCATTTAATACTAATAATTTTAGAGGGTTTAAATAAAATTTAAATTTGCTTTGAGAGCAAATGAATGCATGTGTAACTTAATCATCAGTGTATCTTCTTTGAATAAATAAATTGTTTAGAATGAACTCTAATAGAATGAACTTAACTATTTTTTCTGTTGACTTATCAAAGCAATTTTAGAGTTCAAAGCATCATGATTTTTAAAGTACTAATAATATACATACTCTATGATTGTTCATAATAGAAAATACTACATAAAATTATTGTATTTTAAATCATTGTAAAAAATTAAAGGGCAGTTCTCAAATAAATATATTCACATCCTTATTTATAATCCCCATGATGACACTTAAACCTTCTGCAATTTTCTGTAGTGATTGACATGACAGTAGCCTGTGGAGTTAGCTCTTTGATTATGTACAGCTCAAGGTTACTTTAGGTTATTCTTCAAAAATAGGACTTCAAGCAAAGCATCTTGTGTTCCTTTTGCAGAATTGTTGCTGAAGTGCTGCTGAAAGGGCCAGAGATGCAAGGATTTGGGACACATTTTGAACCTTTAAGCTGTCTGACATTGACCTGTCATTATTAATAAAGAAGAATCAGGAGCTTAGGATGTATTAACACCAATTCATTAACGTACTAACTGGACAATGCTCTGCAAACAATTCTACACTGTAAAGAACTGGATTGGCACAAAATAAGATAATTTGATATTTTACTCATCCTATAATATGTCTCAATGGAGGAAAATTTGATAAACATGAGGAAAGACCATTCTTTTCATGTTCGTTACAGGTAAGACCGTTGCTTTCTTAGTGGATAACTTTTAGTCCATGTTTAAACATGTATTTAACACTGACCATTTTAGTTTTCAGTTTGGAAATAATTCAAAATATACATATATATATATATACACACATATATAGCTATAGTTGGTATCTTTTGTCCTCAGTATTTCCTTTTTTTGTGGTAGTTGTAAGGTTTTAAATCCTTTCTATAGGAAAATGATTTGTTTGTTAATGTTCTTTGGAACAGTTTATGAATAATTAACTTCATATTTTGTAACTTTTATGTAATGCAAATATAAAAAGAGTATCTTTTGAAATCTTTGGGAATAAAAGATGGATTTTTTATATGGTCGGTTGAGGACCTAACTTTTGAGTTAAAGTTTTTTAAGTGGTGAGCTTCATAACTGAGCCATTTAAACATGACAGATATTTAGTGAAAAAAATATTAATGATATTTCTGATATAATAGAAACAAAACAAGCATATCTGCACTATCAGTATTATTTAATATTTATTCTAGAAGTTCTGGTCATTACACTAAACTATAAAATAAAAACAAGCAATTATTTAGTAAAATGATTAGATAATAGTATGTTCTTTTTCAAAACTGCTACAAGTTAATGATATAGACACCAAAATTTTGAAGCAAAAGGTAGAATTCAAAATCTGAGTGAAAATGTTTGCTACCAAATCTTAGATGCCTTAATTCATGTTTAGGAAATAATGAGGAGATTCATCATCCTGTGAAATAGATTTGTTTCGTGTTAGAGCATAGTGCCAAGGAAGTTTATATAGGTTAAGATAAGGACATTTCTATTAAAAACAAAAGAAATTTCAAAGAATGGAAGGCTTTCAACGTAAGATGAGCTTTTAATATGAAATCCCCTTAGCCTACCCATAGACCATATTTCTAAAAATCTGAAAGTTACATATTTTCTTCCTTCTTGCTCTCGAGCAGGCATGAAGTATTGCCAGTTTGATCTCTAGGTGTTTCTCAGATTCATCAACACCCTCCCCACCACTGCTGTGGTTCAGGTACCCAGGAACTTCCTTCCAGACTCCTCACATTCTCCATTCTTACCTTCTTCAATCCACCTTTTTAAGTTGGTACTAGAGGGATCAGTCCAAAAGCAAAGCATTAACCATGCAACCTCTCTGCTTAAAGCCTACAGTGGCCCCTATGTAGGACAGAGCCAAGCTTAACATAGTACACAAGATCTTTCATATCTGGCTTCTTTATATTCCTTAGACCGTATTTCCTGCCATTCTCTGTTTCCTTGAACATTAAACTGTTGCACGTCTCAGTGCTTTTGTTCATGCTACATTTTAAAAATGACCAGAATTCCCCTCCCATTTTATTTACTTAGCTTCTACTTAGTACAAACATTTTGCCTCAGAGATTATTTCTTCCTGGAAATCATCTGTAAATTCTGTAGTTAGGCTATGCCCTCTCTGCGCTCACCTTATGACCTGTGCATATTTCTCTTTTAGCACCTACTATGTTAAAATTCAATGTTTTTATGACTGTTTTTCCCTCCTCGCTTCTCCTCCTCTTGACTATTAGCTCCTTAGGGCAGCCTTGATGCTTAGCATGTTGTCTAGTACACATATCCATTGAATTTCATTGGATATAACCATGATATGAACCACTAAGATGTTTATCCATCTTGCAGGAATTCTTGAAGAGTAGTATGCTTCACTGTAAGCAGTAGATGAGGAGGAGCAAGATTGTACTGCTGCCTCTGGGAAGATCTAAGATTTGTCCTTTTTTCACTATATGGCGCAGGTCAGCATGCACATTGCTATAGGACTTCATCAAGTGGAAACTTAAAAATTTGTAATTGTCTTTAGTAAGAATACACTGAACAAATCCCTGGCTTCATCACTACTCTAAGATCCAGCATTCTGGATTTTTATTGGATTGTTGTATAATTGTGGATACTGATTTGAACCCTTTATTTTAGGTCTACTATAGTAAATACTTAGCATGTAGTGTTTTGTTTTGTTTTGTTTTGTTTGGTACCGGGGATCGAACTCAGGTCCTTGCACTTGCGCAGCAGTCGGTGAAACCACTGAGCTAAATCCCTGGCCCTAGCATGTAGTGTTTTATCCATTTGATTCTTTCTTGCTCGAGATCTTCATCTATCCCTGGAGTTTTCATAGTATAATGAGTTTGTAATTTTGAAATGGAATATTTCCTTGGACACTAGAAAATTTCCTAAGGAACATTAAAATGCTTTATGAAATAGTTTTTACCTTTTGGGAAGGTAGACATTGATAGCAAAATGGAATTAGTTTCTAAATTTTTAAAGTTTTTTTTTTTTTTTTGGTACCGGGGATCGAACTCGGGACCTTGCACTTGCAAAGCAGGTGATGGAACCACTGAGCTAAATCCCCAGCCCTTAAAGTATTATATGATTGATTTAAAGAATTACTTATTTTTTAGGTATGATAATGATGTTTTTAAAAAAAGACTTATCTTTTAGAGGTATATACTAAGATATTTATAAATGAAATTATATGCTGTCTAGAAGGTACTTCGAGATAATCTGGGGTTGGAGGAGTGAGGATAAGAGTAGAGATGAAATGTATACTGATAAGGAACCCTTCTCCACTGTTGGTGGGAGTGTAGACTGGTGCAACCACTGTGGAAATCAGTATGGAGATACCTCAGAGAACTAGGATTGGAGGTCCCATTTGACCCAGCTATTCCCCTGCTGGGTATCTTCCCAAAAGAACTAAAAGAATCATACCATAGTGATATATGTGGACCCATGTTCATAGCGGCACAGTTTGTAATAGCTAAAACTTGGAAACATGGGCCGGGGATTTAGCTCAGTGGTTCCGGCATCTGCCACGCAAGTGCAAGGACCCGAGTGGGATCCCCGGTACCAAAAAAAACTTGGAAACAGCCCAATTTCCCATCAGCTGGAGACTGGATAAAAATTTTTTAAAAAAATAAAGTGGAGTACTACTCAGCCATAAAGAATGAGAAATTAGAGCCATTTATAGCTAAATGGATGCACATTGAGGCCATACTCTTAAGTGAAATAAATAGGATACACATGTGTAGATACCGAATAGTTTCTCTGGTGTGAGAAACTGAAAGAGTAAATAAGGATCAAACTGTATAATAGATAATGTGAAATAGGAAGAAAAGGTGCAAAGGGGAAGTGGGAAGGGTAGGGAAAGGGAAGAAGGAAATGGAATTAACATGAGAAAATGAAAAAATGGAAACAAAGTCTTTGTAAATAGAGAAGGGTGGAGGGGTTGGAGGGCAGGGGAATGGGGGAAAAAAATAATCAAGAATAATCTCCAATGATGCATGTCATTATATTGTATATCTAAAATGTACCAATAAAATTAATTTTTAAAAAAAGAAATATATACTGATAATATGTATATCAGTAGTTGCTAAAGTTGAAAGATGGATACATTGTGTTCATTGCACTAGTTTCTCTAGTTTTGTATTTCTTTGGGACATGTCCCTATTCATAATTGTTACCATGAAGAATAAACATTTCAATACATAAGTAGTAAAAATAAGACTTGCTGTAAGTTGTAAAGAAATACAATTTTTGAATTGAATCCTTTAATTTTGTTAGATAAATGTAGTTGTTAATAATATACTTTTCTGAAGAATAATTTGAGGTAACATGGTAGAAAGCACTGAGTTTGGAAACAATAAAATTTTATTTCTCAGCTTTACTATCACCTGACTGTAAACAGGTCACTTAAGCTGAGCATCAGTTTCTCTTTTGTAATAATAATACCTATCTCAGAGTTAGAACATTTTAGAATTAAATTTAATATGTTAAAATCATCTTTAAAATTAAGTTACCGGGCTCGGGATGTGGTTCAGTGGCACCACACCTGCCTGGCAAGCGCAAGGTCCTGAGTTTGATTCCCGGTACCACAAAAACCAAACCAAAACAAAACTAAGTTACCATATAAAAATTAAATCTGGATAATTTTGTGCTACATTTTTTTTTACAAGATGAACTAGAGCAGTTAGATATGTATGATAAATTTGAATGGATAAAGAATCATTTATTGGAGCTAAGACTGATGATGGAAAACGTCTGTACCCAATGAGAGGTGGAGCTAGGGTTTTATAAAAGGTGATTTCACAGTGGAGAAGTTGGAGAGTACTGTTTTTGTTTTGGATCTGAAGTCCTGAATCCCATCATTTATTCTTAAGATTTTGAGGAAGAGTCAGATTGGACTTACATAATCAGTATTATTGGATCTTTTAAAATTATATAGCATCAAGGTTTATTCTTATTTTGCTTTTTACTGATACCTGTGAACACAAGAAACCAAAATTAAGGAGACAAAGAAGGTTGTAAAGGTCAAAATCTACTGTGGAAGTTAAAAAACAGATTAAAGAAATTGAAATAAAAATTTTTGTGCAAAAAATTATGCCTAAGATATCCATTGCATTTTTAGCAAAAAGGAAAACTTTTCAGTCAAGGATAGTAATGTTTATTTATAGTTATTAGTAATACAGTTTCTTTGATTGTACAATTAGATAAGACAGGCCACTAGGAAGAACAGAAGAAACTTTGTATGTGGGATATATTTTAATGGAAAAGTATTTTCTTGGCTTATTTTCTACACCTGGATATGTTCTTTGTTTTCAACCTAAATGGTAAACAAATGAAATAAGTCTATTCTCCCATAGCAGCAGAAAGGATATAAAATTACTTTCTTTATTACTGTTTAATGATCTTCTAAAAAATTTATATGTTAACCTGCCCTATTTTGCAATTATATGTATTTGATTGAGATGTTAGTATTTTGCCAGAATATTGACTTCTTTTCTAATAAAATATAGTCATAATATATCTTAGAATTAATAATAACCTAGGGATTTTTGGACTTTATTTTGGGGACTAGTTACTGACATAACTTTCCTAGGTGTTTTCTGTTTTGGACAGTTCTACTTCTTGGACTTGGCAGACAGCATGTAGCCAACATGGTTCTAGTTTGCTATCATTGTTCCTAATGACAATTCTGTAAAATGCTTTTTTCAAAATGCATAACTCTTATGAAACCATTCAATAAAATTTAGCTATCATATCATTTGAATTGATGGCTCCAGTATAATGTTGTATTAAATTTAAAAGATCAGGTATTTATGGTAAAGGAATTTATTTGAAGAAGATATTTTTCTGCCTTACATGGATATAGACAAATGCTTTTAAACTTCTAATTTATACATATAAATGCCTTATACAGTATATGAATAGCCACTGCTGCTTCATCTGCAACTTTCTGGCCAACAACTCAATCATCCCGAACTGAGGGTGCTGCTGGATATGATGATCCCTTCCTCTTCCTCAGTGAAATCACATGCAATATATGGCAGCATGTAATTTTTAAAAATCATTACCGTATTGCTGAACATATAAGTTGTTTGTAGTTCTTTGCTTCTATAAATATCCTTTCATATACCATATATCTTTTGAATTTGTGTAAATATACCCTTAAGATATATGCCTAGCAGTAAAAATATTTGATGTATAGTTTTCACATAATTAGAATGCTTGGATTAAAATTTTTAATAAGTATTATATATATTGAACTATCTTTTCCAATTTTTCATATGACAATTCTTAGAAGTTCATTGGTTTCAGTATTTAGACAAATTAAAACAACTGGTTCAGATATCTGGAAATAAGATATCTTTTAATAAAAATCATATTTATACATAGCAGGTTTTTTGCTGCCTTATTTTTATTTATGCACAGAATATACCAGTATCCCCAGACAATCTTAAAATACTCATAATTTCGCTTAAGAAATTCCTTATTTTCAAATAATACTTCCTGCTGGGCATGGTGGCACATGTATGTAATCCTAGCACTTGGGAGGCTGAGGCAGGAGAATTGCCACAAGGATCGAGGCCAGCCTGAGACTATATAGTGAGAATCCTGTCTCAAAAACGAACAAAAAAAATACTTCTAAAGAAGAGCAGTTTTCACTTGTGAAATAAGCAGTTTTCACTTGTGAAAGACAAAAGTAGGCTTTATTGTGAGCTGACACATTAAAGAAATAATAAATATAGAGATTTAAGATTTCTTTTTATGTGTGACTATAGTCTCTAGATTAATATGAAGATTATTCCAGTACCTAAGAAACAAAAATATCAGTTTACCAGTTCTACACCCCCCTTTACGGCCCCCCTCTTATATTTGTTGACATATCAACAATATCAGTGTCCTACATGGACCTAGAAAAACTCCTTTCCTCCTAGACAAATGGCTAGTTGCAAGACTGCTGTAATAAGAGCATCAGTCTATGTATCTTGTATTTATATACTTTGAGGGAATGGGATAAAAGATTTAAGATTTCCTATTTAACTGATTTATATTTTAGGTCTTCTGTCTTATGGTTTTTTGTCTTTTTTTTCTGGCACTGGGGATCAAACTCGGGACCTTGTGCTTGCCAGGCAGGTGTAGCGCCACTGAGCTAAATCCCCAGCCCTTCTCTCTTATGTTTCATTGGCTTCATCTCATGTTAAAGGAAAGTGTTAACTAGAGGCTTACTTGTATTCTTCTGCATAGATCCTTATAAAGTGAAGATAAAATAATGTGAAGGTGAAATCACTAGTCTTTGAACATGTAGTAGCCACTGACAAACTCAGTTGAATTTTTAAAAGGAAAAAAAGAAAGAAACCTGGCATGGTAGCCCATGCCTATAAATCTCAGCACTCTGGGAGGATGAGGCAGGAAGATCACACGTTCAAGCCCAGCCTGGGAAATACAGCAGTTTAGCAAGATCCTACTAAAAGTGAAAAATAAAGAATGGGGATGCAGCTCCGTGCAAAAGCTTTGGGTTTAATCCATAGTAGCGCACCAAAACAAAACTTGGATATAAAGTATGAAAACTCCTTGTTAATCTGCTTTTTCTGAACCAGGAGTCTGCTTTGAATCTTTGTAATTGGCTCTATTAATCTGACTCCATACTTTTATTTTAGCTTCATCAGATTTATTTTCTACTTTTACAGTCCCATTTTAATTTATGGGTCTAAGGCACCTGATGTTTTTTATAAACTGAAAGACAATACCTAAAGAAACATGTTAATTGACTTGTTACTAGATACATTAGAATTTCCTAGAGACTTTTAAAAAATACGGATGCCCAGACCTCACCCAGAGAGTAGGACCCAACACCAAGAGTTTTAAAAAGTGCTCCATACAAGTTCTGCTATTGTGCAGCTAGAATTAAGAACCACTGTTCCGTTAGAGTGGTTCAAAGCTAATTCTAGTGAGGAATTCAGTTCCAAAAATTTAAGTTTGATGAGCTTAATCAGAATTTTCAAAGATGAAATGTATACCATTAGTGAGTCATACATAAGATAATTTTACTTTTAAACTTTAATGGTTACCTATTTGTTTAATGTGCATTAGAAAATAAATACAAAATCAAATTTGCAATTGCGTACTAGTTGGATGAAGACTTTTTTCAATGACAAAGATAGTGTGCCAATTTAAAAAAAATTGCTAAATTGTAAGTATATTAAGTGAATAGATGGCGCACAGATATGGCAGAAGTCATGAAGAAAGACAGTGGAAACTGGTGAAAGGTAACTTCTAAAGTTTAGAGTTAGAACCTGAAGTATCTGTTTTTTCTCCTGAATGTATTTTCAATGAGTCATTTCTTATGGTTTTTTCAATTGAAGGGACAGATTTAATTTTTGAGAATTAAAATTTCTGCATATCTTTAAATTATTATTAATGACATTTCTTGACACATAGTGGTCTTGTACAGTACACTTTGTAGATCAAAATATTTTGCTCTTTTTGTAGAGTACTGTATAAATGGTTGTAAGAGAAGGAAGGAAAGAATTGTGTAATGTGTGTATGAGATAGAGGAGAGGGTGAGTGGATGGATGGGTAGATGGATGGATGGATGGATGGTGGGAGGGGTTATGAACAGGTGAGTAGGTCACCTGGATACCTGCATAGAGAATAGTGTTATAGTACCACACCTTCCCTTGTGCTCCTTGTTCTCCCCAAACCCTCAGGAAGATCATAGGTCTGCCACACTCAATAGTTTAGAAAACACTGCTTTATCTTCTCTCTGTAGTAAAGTGAATTGCTCTAGATGAGCTCCGTATGAAGATACTCATCTATTCTGTACAACAGACCTCTGAGGCTGTGAGAAATCTGAATAGACACCTTAGCTCTTGCTACAAATAATAGTTTGCTGTTTTATCAATAATGTATATATATATTCAGTTAGAGGGGCATTGATCTGAGCAAGAGTAGGCATGCAGTTCATACTTAAAATATATTTCTAGAAGTTAAAAACATTGTGTTGTAGTCATAATGCTGTGTTGTAAATGTCTGTCCTTGTAGAATGGAAGCTTCCTGCCTAGAGTTGGCCTTGGAAGGGGAACGACTGTGTAAATCAGGAGACTGCCGTGCTGGTGTGTCATTTTTTGAAGCCGCAGTTCAAGTTGGAACTGAAGATCTAAAAACACTTAGCGCTATTTACAGCCAGCTGGGCAATGCTTATTTCTATTTACACGATTATGCCAAAGCATTAGAATACCACCATCATGATTTAACTCTTGCAAGGTAATTAATGTAAGCTTTTAAATATTCTTCCTCCCTAAATTAACTGTTACTTTAAAAAGTACTACAATTAAGAAAATTAAACACATTTAATAGCATTGCTTTTGAAAACTAATCTTTAGGCTAAACACAGAGTTTAACTGAATGAACAGTACTGAAATGACTAGAGTTTAAATGAATGAAAATTAATTTAAATACACAAATGTTGTTTCACATTTTTATTATTTTCAAGGCTAATGAGTCTTTCTTACTTGAAGCATGTCAGTTGTCCTCTAGGAGAACTTTACTATGGCTGCTTTACATTTTAATGCCATTTGTATTATTAGCACCATTTGCCTTTTTCCCTCCAGGACTATTGGAGACCAGTTGGGAGAAGCCAAAGCTAGCGGTAATCTGGGAAACACCTTAAAAGTTCTTGGGAATTTTGATGAAGCTGTAGTTTGTTGTCAGCGACACCTAGATATTTCCAGACGGCTTAATGACAAGGTAATAAAGAAACATTAGATGATAGGCCAGATGCCAAATATTTCAATGAAATTGCCTTGTACTATTGTATTTATTCTATAGTTTATCTAAAAAAGAAAATGTTTGTAGTAAAAGATAAAACATAATAAAAAAATTTAAAATAGAGAAAAAATAGTGAGAGATCCTTCTTTCATAAGTAATGATTTGTTTGGTTCTGGACAGATGGCCATTGTAGAAATCTTTCTCTCTTGAGCTGGGCACAGTGGCACATGCCTGTATTCCCAGCACTCTGGGAGTCGGAGGCAGGAGGACCACAAGTCGACTCCTATCTAGGGAATTTAGCAACTTAGCAAGACCCTGTTTTAAAATTTTAAAAAGGGCTGGGGATATAGCTCAGCATGAAGGCTCTGGGTTCAACATTTAATACAGCAAAAGTAAAAAATTTTCTCTTGATAATAGTATCAAGGATATGTGTGTGTGTGTGTGTGAAGGAAGGAGGGAGAGAGAGAGAGAGAGAGAATGAGAGACAGACATAAGTATAAATACCTGGCCTCTGATTTCAAAATGTAAACTTTGCTGATATCTTCTTCTAGGTGGGAGAAGCAAGAGCACTTTACAATCTTGGAAATGTGTATCATGCCAAAGGGAAAAGTTTTGGCTGTCCGGGTCCCCAGGATGTTGGAGAATTTCCAGAAGAAGTGAGAAATGCTCTTCAGGCAGCAGTGGATTTTTATGAGTGAGTAAGGCAATGCAGTCATAGGCCTCCGTAAGCCATGGGCCAATATATATTGTTTATCCAGGAGTAAGTTTTTAAATTTGGGAAAAGTTTTTAAATTAAGGATTTACAAAAATAACCTATCAAATCAATTGCTTAAATGTTATAGTGTTTATTGGTAGTGATCTTCAGTTTTCATTTAAAGTGCAGACCAGTGCCCCTTAGTGGCAAAAACAAGAAATATCAGTGGTTGTCTAATTCATGTAAATTATCCTTTGCCCAATAGAATTTCATAGAACTTTTAAACAATAGGGGTTCCAAGATGAACTGTCTTTGACTGTGCAGAGAAACCTACCTGAATGGTTCAGACAGATATTCTTGGTGATTTCCTGTAATCACCCTGCGTCATAGATTTATCATAAAAATGTTACACATAGGGCCGGGGATTTAGCTCAGTGGCTTCACTGCCTGCTGCACAAGCGCAAGGACCCAAGTTCAATCCCTGGTACCAAAAAAAAAAAGTTACACTTAATTTCTGTAAGCTTGCTTGAATTTCTTTTTCTACTGTAAAGAATTAGATCTATGGCTACGGTGTGGCTCCATGGTAGAGTGCTTGCCTGGAATATACAAAGCTCTGGTTTAATCCCAAGCACTTGAAAGAAGAAAAATCTATAAGTCAAATAAATAAGAACTTTTTGCCAAACATTTTTTTAAACCGTTTTTTGTTTCACTTAGGGAAAATCTATCATTAGTAACTGCTTTGGGAGACCGAGCAGCCCAAGGACGAGCCTTTGGAAATCTTGGCAACACACATTACCTTCTTGGCAATTTCAGGGATGCGGTTATAGCTCATGAGCAGGTACAAATGGAAGGCCTTGGAGCCAGATCAATTCCTCCGTTAAAGTTCTGAACAATGATTACATTATCCCACAGTTTTATTATAGGATATATCTAATAAAATTTTTCTGTTTTAGCGTCTCCTAATTGCAAAAGAATTTGGGGATAAAGCAGCTGAAAGAAGAGCCTATAGCAACCTTGGAAATGCATATATATTTCTTGGTGAATTTGAAACTGCTTCTGAATACTACAAGTTAGTCTAATATTTCTGCAAATAAATGTAAAATGAGTATTATACATTCCCACTAAGTCATAAGCTTTAAGTTTAAAACCTGGTTTTTAATACATACTGGCAACAGGACCCTGGATTTTTAAGCCTTAGTTTCCTCACCTGTAAGAGAAGATAGCAAAACCTTGATTTGGGAATTGTAGTGAAGATTGAATGAAAGGATATATTGAGCATTTAACATCATACCTGGGACACACTGCTCAGTCAGTATTATTGTACCCGAATATTATCACATCTAAGATTTAATTGCAGCAGTAGGACCCCATTTATATTATTATTAGTTTTTTAATCTTTAAAATTAACTGTTTTTAGCTGGTCATGGTGGCACACATGTGTAATCCCAGCACTTGAGAAGCTGCAGCAGAAGGATTTTGAGTTTGAGGGCAGCCTGGGTTATAGCAAATAAATAAATAAATAAACAATGAATGCTAAACTTTTTAAAAGTCTTTTAAACCTATGGTGTGTATATGATTTATTTGTCCCGTTATGGGTCAGAAGAGAAACCAAAAAGCATGGCAATAAAAATATGCCCTAATCTCCACCAGTGATCACTGAATTTTTTTCTCTACCATCCCACCCTCTGAATGAGCAATTCTCCCACCTTCTTTCTGCCCTACTTTGACTCTGTTGGCTGAGGGCCCATTATCTCCCTAAGGAGTTGGCAATCCCAGTTTCTTCTATGGTAGGGGCTTTCTGGTGTGACCAGTCAGCTTCAAACATAAGTGGTAGCAAAGATTAAACAGCTCCTAATTGCCTGGTTTGTGCTTTCTAGATTGAGTTTTCTGGCCAGGGATTTAGCTCAGTGGTTCTGCCACCTGCCTTGCAAGCGCAAGGACTCGAGTTCGATCCCCGGTACCAAAAAAAAAAAAAATATATATATATATATATATAGATTGCATTTTCCCTAGTTAGTTAGTTAGTTAGTGAGCTTTGAAAGCTCAACCTCAGGAAAAATCTGGTTTGATTGAACCAAAGATTAAATAATTGTAAAGATACCAAGGTGAGAGTTCTAAATAGTTTGTCATCTTGAAAAAAAAAAAAAGATATGATCACTTTACTCCATCCAAAAAAATCTTCCTTTAAATATTGGCTAGTAGTTAATATTTGTTGGTTGGTTAGATAGGAAATATCCTTCCAGATAAAATATAGTATATATTTTGATTTTAAATATAAAAGTTTCATGTATTTTTAAAGCCAAAGGATATAGAAAATTCTTACTAAATGGTGTACCTGTGTTAAATGCTGAAAAATTCTATTATAAAGTGGATGGTGGCTGTGTGACTAAAGTATGAGTGTAGTGAAGCCTACCATTTTTTTCCCCAGTAAGTAGGCTAGAACTCAGAATTTATATATATTCCAAAAAGTTGGTCAGTAATGTTTTTGGGACTCTCCCTAGGATTTGTTTTCAGGCCTACACAAGAAGTCTGCCAGGGCTGGAGATTTAGCTCAGTGGTTCCACCGCCTGCCTCGAAAGCACAAGGTCCTGAGTTTGATCCTTGGTACCAAAAAAAAAAAAAAAGTCTGCCATAACATTTTAGATCCATATCCTTCAGGATACAAAACAGTTGTTGGCAAACCTACATCAGTAATTGAATATGGTAATGGAAAGATTTCTGGCTATTTATAAATCTATACAATCAGAGTCTAACAGCATGCTAGAAAGGGTTGTGCCACAGAATCTGAAGGAAATTCCAAAAGTCTCAAAAAATGTTTGGGAGGACAGGCAACATTAGAATAAGTGCATAGCCTCCAAAAGTGACAGCTTTGAAGCTATTATCATTAAATACATAATTTTAGATTTGTTTTCTTGAAAAGATCTATCGTGTTACCGTAATTTTTCACATAGATGTAAATGATATGAAGTAATTATATAACTTGGCAGAGATTATAAAAAATCACTTAAATTATTGGTTCCAAAAGCATCTGTAGGTTTAAGCACTGATAAAATAGCATTAATATTTATATAGTATCTGCTCTGCTCAAGATGCTATTCTAAGTACTTTATATATGTATAAATATACATACTCATATATGTATGAATTCATTTAATCTTTACAAAAGTCCCATGAGGTATTTCCCCTGTTATGTATATATGAGGAAACTAGTACACAGACAGGTTGAGTGACTTGCCCTAGGTCACACAGCTGGCAAAAGTGAGATTTAAACCCAGATAATGTAGCTCCAGGATCCATGCTCTTACCTGTTACACTAACTTTTCATTGACAATATCATATGTGTTAGATAGAATTTTGTCAATATTAAGTATATGGCTGCAAAAGCGAGCACTCAACAGGGTTTAAATGAAGTATTCAGTATTTTTAAGAATCAGTGACTAATGGTCTACACATAAAAACTTTACCTAAATATTTTAAATTTTAACAAGATGAAAAGTAACAGCATGATTGAAAATAAACATGATATGAACAGAAGTTTCTTTAGTATCAATATAAAAGGGAAAGATGTTTTTAAATGTCATAAATCCTGTCCTCCTTTCGAAACCCTTGACCTATCCTAGTACTCCATTATGGTGGGAATTGTTAGTATCAAATTTATTCTGAAGGTCTAGATCTGGTTTTTGTATTCAGAAACAACTTTGCAGTTTAAATGTACTAGTAAAAGATAATAGACTCTGAAACATTTATTTGAAAGGCAGCAGAGAGGGAAAATTACAGTTTTATTTTATCATTATTATAGCCCAAATTAAAAATGATCCTGTGAAAATTTCTTCTTTTAGGAAGACACTCCTGTTGGCTCGACAGCTTAAAGACAGAGCTGTAGAAGCTCAGTCTTGTTACAGTCTTGGAAACACGTACACTTTACTTCAAGACTATGAGAAGGCCATTGATTATCACCTGAAGCACTTAGCAATTGCTCAAGAATTAAAAGATAGGTAAGTTGTACATCCTTTTTCTCTAAAGTAAAATATAGATGCATTATTAAATCCCAAGGGCTTTTCCTTTGACTGTTTTCTATTTCCTTTTTAAGAAATTTCCCTTTTCATGAGTATCCCCTGCATGTTGCCATTTGAAGGGCTGTCCTATGGTAGAGAGTTGGTCTGGTTCCAGATGCCCTTGAACCAGGACCAATGACTGGGTCACAAACTCAGCTACCTCTGCAGAAGTCCTCCAGCCTAGATAGTGTGGGAATTGTGGTGAGCTTAGAACACTTCATTGTCAAGGAGTGGCTGCTACTTAGCTCTGGCTGATTGCTGCCAGGCAGGAGCAAGGTCTGTTACAAACAAATCCTCCTGTTGTCTTAAGAGAAGCTACAAGTCCTGTGCTGTATATAAAATCTCCCAATTTTTAAGTGTTGGTGACTACTTCGTTTGTTCCTTCTTGCTATATGAAAAAACAATTCATCTGTGCTGGCCTTGGTCTTTTTTGCTTTAGAAGCTCCGTTTTTACATCAGTGTGAGAAAGAACTTTCCAGTATACTGTTCAAGATGAAATATACTACCTCAAGAGGTTGTACAGGTTTCTCTCCCTAGTATTCAGATTCACACTGAATGATTACCTGGTAAAGTTGTTCTAGGAAGATTTTAAAAGAATGTTTTTCATGTTTTAATATTTGACTCTGAGTTTAGGATTATCTGAATCTTCTCATAGCTTTCCCTGGTATCATGATGTAAGTTTTTAAAGTAAAAGATCATATAAATCTAAAGCATTGTTTATAGTAATGATGGTGAACTTTTTAGAGCTTTCAGTGATAACAGCCCACTGCAGCACATGTGCCATAGGTTCACCACCACTGGTTTATACATTTAATAATTGCTAAATCATCTTTATTTTCTGTAGACCTCTTCTCAGATAACTGCATGCTTGTTTTAAATTATGTTTTAGAATTGGAGAAGGAAGAGCATGTTGGAGCTTAGGAAATGCATACACAGCTCTAGGAAATCATGATCAAGCAATGCATTTTGCTGAAAAGCACTTGGAAATTTCAAAAGAGGTATGAAATGTGAAAAAGTGCTATCTGTGCATTTATGAATCGGTGACATGGGGAAGGAACTCTTATTTCTTCTGATTGCTCTATATGGCTAAATAGTGTTTGATTTTATATTGTTTTCTTGGCATCCACAAAATAGTTTGAGATATTACAGTTCAGAGATATGCTTGTGCTGTCCTTCATATAAGAAGACAAGAAGGTAAGGCCAGGCAGGTGTGAGGGAAAGGAGGACATTACTAAAACATGCCCCCTCTCTGCCTCCATCACTACATACGGAGTTAGCGTGGTACTTAAGGAATAATGGTTTTTAGAGTCAAGGACTGGTTCCTGTTATACTTCTGCCTGTTGGTGACTATTTGAGCTTGGAAACCTTTTCTGAGCCACATTTTTCTTATCTGGAAGATGGGAATAATAATACCAACCTTGCAAGTTCTGATTAGAGACAATGTGTATAGAGGTGCTGGCATAATATTTAGTGCTAGGGCTGGGGATTTAGCTCAGTGGTTCCGCCATCTGCTTTGCTAAGCACAAGGACCCAAGTTCAATCCCCGGCACCAAAAGAATATTTAGTGCTGGTTTAATAAATGTCACTATTGTTAGAGTATAGAAATAAAATATCTTTAAGGAAAATTTGTTCATGTGATGCCACATTGATAGTTGATATGTCACAGGATAGCTATATTATTTAATATAATCCCAGAGAATAAGAGCATTCTAATATTTAAAGAACTAAAGAATTAAAATACAATTAGGCTGCAGACAAGCAGGTCTGTGCACGCCCTGCTGAGGTCCGAGTCACGCGGAAGACGCCAAATCAGCCCGCTGCAGACAGGCAGGTCTGCGCACGCCCTACTGAGGTCCAGAGTCCCACGGCAGACAACAAATCAGCCCGCGCCCCAGCAACAATCCACTGGCCCTCCCCAGCCCCCGTTCCTCTGTACAGCCACCTGGTTCCACACTACAAAGACACAGTACTGAGTCCCGCTGCTCCCAGAGGTAGGAGCTTCTGAGCTGCTGTCCCGCTGCTCCTGGTCCAGAGGAAGGGGCTTACTGGCCACCATCCCTCCCCCTGCTCCCAGCCGAGAGGAAGGGGCTTTTGGGCCACCTTCTGTCCC